TTCCCTAATAAGCCATTAATGCTTCTGGTACTCTTTGATGTGTGCTGTATAACTGGATTTTCAATGAAATAGTTTTGTAGGCTTCTTTGCTTTGCTACTTCAAATATTCAACTGAAATTTTGCATCTCTTGTATCGTGCTGATTGCTTAGCCTGAATGATCAAATGCATATCTGAATTGAACAGAATAGCTCACAGAAGGAGTATAAGAAAGGCTCTGATCTATCTCTGGGTCATTAGCGGGATGCCTTATTCACTCTACCACTGCACCTTTAACTACTTCACTTGTGAAGGTTTTCGTCAGACATTATGAAATTATGGATTTGGTCTGATTCTTCAGTCTGGCAGCCAGTCTAGACAAGGGGTCTGTCTCAATTAGATGTGACCAATTACCTTATGAGAGGAAATGGAAGAAGAATCCTAATATTGTGTTTCCTAATCCCCTCACCCTCTCCCAGTCCTGCCCCTCCTGCATTCCTCCTGGTTGCTCAGCTGCAGTGGTACGTTGGCCAGTCTTCAGCACTACTCAGGTCTCTTCTGATGGTGCATCTCTTCTGATGATGCAGCTGAATTAACAACTTAGAATGGCATCAGGTATATTTTGCCTTTCTTTCTTGGACCCACAACACCCTACAGCCACTGTCCTCACACTGCCTCTGTGACAAGGCAGGAGGGTGCTGAGGACAGACATAAATTTGACAGGCAACTGAAAATGTCTCCTTATTGTGTGAACTGAGTCCTACATGATAATTCAAAGCACTTTTAGTGCAGATTTGTTCTTTCAGTCTTTCCTTCTCCCTCACTTCCCTCCCTTTTTTCCCCCCATTTTTTTAATCTCTGTATTATAAGAGTGGAGAATGGGTGTATGATAATTAACAACCTCCTCAGGAAGCTGTGGGATGCCTGGGAGAGCTGGGGCCTGAGACGATCTCGCAGAGGCTGTGAAACCAGGCAAGGCTCTGCTGACCTTTGAAAGCTGCTGGTGGATCTGCCCAGCAGCCTGTTGGCCAGTGCCGGTGCTGTGAAAGCAGAGAGAAAAACAGTGCGGATCAGGTGACTCAAAACCGCAGCAGACAACGCTTTTGAAGCAGTACAAATCCCCTAAAGGATCACACAATTAACGGGGATTAAAGTCCTAGTCTTGCTATTGCTGCAGTCGCTGCCAAAACTTCTCTTGGCTGGTGAAGAGGAGGCTTGGCCCGGTTGGTGCTGTTAGCCACAGCTCTCCAAGGGATGCTCTTTTCTTTGAAAGCTTTGTCCGAAATGAAAGCAGGAGGTTAATTCTGTGTGAATGCCTGGTAGTGTCCATTAGTTTGTCTGGGTGAAGTCTGAAATATTTGATGTTGATCTCTAAAGCCCTTGGTTCCGTGAGTATCGCTGGACTTGCAGCCAGCCTCTTTGCATGGGACAAGGCAAAGGGTCCTCTGAGCAGCTCAGGACTGCACATCTTAGGAGAAAGTAGAATGGGTCAGTAACACAGCATTGTTACCAAAAAAAAAATGTTTAATTCTTAATTTAGTTTTGTCCATGGTGTGTTTGGTGCACTTCAGTAGCCTGAGAATTTGCTTTACCTGAAATCCCACAGGTTTGGGAAGATCACAAGGGCTGATCAAATTCTGCTTTGTATCAACTAGGATTGCTAGAGGAAGTGGAATTTATGTTCTTAGATTGGAATTGATTTTTTTTTTACTTTTAAGTAGCTTAATTACTCAATATCCTGGGCTTTTGTCTTCTGAACCTAGAGAGTTTAGGAGACACCTAAATGAAATAGATTCAATCGTTTATAATCTGATATGCATTAAGGATGAATTGAATTAATGTGTTATGAAGTCTGATCCTATGTGGCCATCTTTGGGCATACTTAAATCTCATTTGTACTCTTCAGTTCTCTTGCAAAGTAGAGATATAGAAACAAATAATTAAAATAATTTCAATCTTTTAAAAGTAATTGTTTGAATCACAGGGGTGTTTTTTTTAAGCTAGACTAAAAAATATCTCCCTACAATAGGTTTTAAACATACAGTGATTTGATTCCTGGTGGGATTTAGAATATTGCTGTAGGTAGGATAGTTTGTTTACAACGCTTCTGTAGGCAGTCTCTCTTCTCTAACAGCAGCCAAATTCTGAAAATCAAGTCTCTATACCTGCCAAGACTTCATTTTACTCCTCTGAGTAATCAGTTTGACTTCAGGAGAACTCACTAAAGCTTTCAGGTTAACTTGGCTTTTAGGAAATTAATGAAAGGAACAAGAGAAAGCATCCTTGCTGGCAATTCAAAACTATAATATAACTTCAGATTGATGCTTACAACAACTGAGCTGTTGATTGCTCACTGAAAATATCATGAATAGTTTTTAAATAATTTATTTTTTTTATCTTTCTCTGCGCCCTTATTCTATGACCCAGGAATTAATCACACTGTATTTGGGAACTTCAGGGATCTATTCTGATTGCTCTTGTATCATTTGCCTTGTTAAAAATAACAAGAGAGAGCATATGCTGCTTTCATTTAAAAAGGGCTGAACTGTGTCTGCTGCAAACATTATTCAGCAATCCCTGGAGAAATTTAAGAGTCAGACAATATCCTTCCTTCTGGGTGTCCTATTGCAACAGTCTATCAGCACTTTCCCAAATAGAAGCCAATGCCTTTTAAGTACAATCCAGCTTTTAATTTGAGTAGAAATTAGCAATGCATCTTTTATTTTTTTAGATTTTTGTCAATACTTTTTTGAGTTAAAAAAACCCCCCAGATATAAAAGAGACATGGACTATAAGCACCAATACTGAGATGACAGTTATGTCACTTCATACGTTAACAGAACAGTTAGTTTAAGTGAGCTTTTCTTTGCAGCCATACCAGGATAATGAATATGTGTTTATTCTCAGGAAACGGTATTCCGGCTGGATACTCAGAACTTGGAGTCTGGCAGATTGAAATGCCCTTTTGATCCTCAGCAACCATTTGCTTCAGTGATGGCAGGTAAGAAACCATCAGAGCCAGGAGCTCCTCTCAGAGATGCAATGGCTTTGTATGGGAGCCTGGGCTCAGAGGCTCAGCAGATGCCATTGTTAGAGCAACTCCAGCCTTCATCATGTCTTCAGTGCTGGTTTGTGCTCTCAGAGCTGAAGGAGCCTTCAGTCTGCAGATACCAAAGAGCTGGAAATGCACCAATGCACAGAGACATCTGCACAGCTGTGCAGCCTCTGCCAGTTGAGCACAGAAGAGATTTCATCCACACCCAGTCATTTCTCCTTTAAGATGACAACAAGAAAAACCACATGGACAGACAATGTTTGAAGGGCTTCTGGGCCTCTTTCTGCAATTATCAATATGTTCTGCCCTTTGAAGTCTGCTGACATCCACTATTTCCATAAATACATTTTTGAGGTTTCTATTTACTCGAGTAGCCACTTCTGAAGCTGGAAGCCTAAGGAAGCAGATAGTGCAATCTGCCTGCTGCCTGTGTCACAGCGCTGTGTGGTCTGACATTTGGTGCCAAGGAATGTCAGCTTGACCTCTGGATTTCAAATCACTGTAAGAGCTACTTTTGTCATGGTTTGGTTCATAGCTTTGGACAATTTTCATTTAACTTGTCCATCAAGCATATGAATACAAGATAAGAGTGGAGCACCATGACGTTTTCATTTACAGCCAAAGAGCAGTGGTGACAATGCTTTGAAGTATCAGTCACTCTGTGTTATAAAAAGAATATGACAAATGCTCAGTCTTTATTCTCAGATAATAAGATAGATGATTTGTGATTCTGACCCAACAGATGGGGCAGGACTTCCTTTATTAAAAACAATAGATTAAAGGCAGCACTTATTCTTCTCAGGGACCCCTAGTACTGTGTAATGACCATGAAGTCTATTTTTAAAATGGGATTCTAGAAACTTTAACTTTTTTTTTTTCTTCTTTTTGCAATAGAACTCCATGATTTATTATACTGTTGGCTAATTTCAGTAGCGCTCTAATGCTTTGACTACTCTATTAAATCTTGTAAAATGAAGAAGCTGCCATGCTTTAGCTAAATAAAACATGAACTTCAGTACGTAAGAATTCTCAGGCTAGATAAAATTAATGGTCAGAGTATTCTAGTATCTCTTCTCTGACTGTACCTGGTGTCAAATGCTTTGCAATAGTGTACAAGAAGCATTGTAAAGAGTTGCAAGCCTGACTAGAGAATGTGTTCTTGGCCTATCATTTGATAATTACTTTATTCCCCAAAGTGGCAGGAGAACGATATAGCTCATGGATAAGATACTGCACTGGGATGCAGTTCCCTCTTTGCCACTGATGAGAGGAGTAACCTTTGGCCTGTCACTTCTCTCTACCTAGTTTTATTTACCTGCTAAATGGTGATAAAGATTACTTGCATCATTCAGAAAGCACTTTCTAACCAGTTATACATATATGAACTAAATAGTATTCTATTTTCATTCATGTATGAAGGTTAATACAATGGTGTAATTTTAGTTCTTTGTAGAAATGCATAATCTCTCTTTGAATTCCACACAGCATTTCATCCCAAGTAAATTCCACAGATAAATTTTAAAAGCTATGTTTTTTGACCGGAAAAATCACCTGCTCATCATCCAGATTCTATTACAAATTACTGCTCACCAAAACCGTTCTGGACACAACTGGAACTTGAAATGAGAGCTACCAAAAGCAGAGAGAAGTGCTGAAAATGCCTTGTCAGCAGAGCCTAAGCAAAGATGGAGAATTTCTGTTAGCCCTGCACATTTATTGATCACTGAGTGCCTGTCAGTTAGCAAACACCAATTACCCTGCCCATTCCTCATTATGACAAATACCTTTCAGAATGCACTATTGTTTCTTTACAAAGGCGACATGCTGTCTGAAAGATGTGCTTTCCAACACTGTCGTGGAAATAATACATAAGTAACAATAGTAATGAGCTAAAAAGAAAGCTGATAAATCTTTTTTCACCAAGTAAAGAACTTGTGGATCGTGGGTTGTGGTTTTGGTTTTTTATTTCCCCTTGATCTTATTTTTTTAAGTGCATTTATATCTTTTGCAAATGAAAACACAAACATCTGTGTTAAATGGTATTTATTCTGCATTCACTCTCAACAAAAGACTTCTCTCGAAAAGATCTTGAGAAATGTTTCCACCCAGAGCATCAGAAAACCTGGAGATGGAACTCCTAGAAGGGAATTTTTGTGTATCATTTATCTTTTAAAATGACCGTCATTTATGAATGTGACCTGTTTTTTTTTTTACGAACTCCAGGGATTTATTGTTGTAAATCATTAAACAAAACCCAAACTCCTCCAATCAACAAAACTATCTTGTTATTTTGCAGAAAAAAAAAGACAATTGTAAAGTGCAATGTGTAGCAAAGAAAAAAGATCACAGTTATATTGTTTCTTTGTGTCTTTTTAGATAGCTACCATGATCTGAAGGAAAATACAAAGTACTGTGAAATTCTTAAGGTTGCAAAGTTTTGTGTTGACCACAAAACTGGCAGAAGACTAAATAGCAATTGCAGTTGCAGCAAGCACACTATATTATGTTATAGATACAGTTTTCTTATGAGACGAATTCTGGCTGCCTTATGGAAGCAAGATGTCTCATTTATTTTAGTGTTAAAATGATCACGATTTGGGTCTGCAGCCATATTCCTACCATGGACACATCACATAGTTGAGAAGAATTCCCATGGTGCCTAAATTCCAGTTTGTGAATGCAGTGTTGGATGGAGATCCCTACACCAGGAAAGGGCCAAACTGCAAAGTTCTCATGGCAAGGGGTCCGTCATGTTTACCAGCTCAAGCCCAGGAACAGCAAAGCCATCAGGATCGTGGGAAGCCTGGAACACAAGAGCTAGCCTGAAGGGATAGATGGTCATGTCCTTGCCATGGCTTCCAGGTCCACAGTCAGTGCTCATCTGGTAGGAAGTTCAGATCAAATACACCTTTACACCCTTAAGAGCCCGGCACCTATTAAAGCCTGGAGAATTTACTTTTCTGGGTGTCTAAAAGATCTGAAAATTAGACTTGCACTCCTTTGCTTCTCAGACATGTAATTAAAAATATTACCCTCATTTAGATGTAACTAACTTCACAGAACCCAAAATCTCATTAAAAATATAAGCCAATAATTCTTTAAAACATTAAATTAGTTCATAGGCCAATTAAACACAGGTGTTGTTCAACCAACAAAACACAAATAGTGTTAATTTTGTTTATCCCACAGCTGTAGAAACCCTATTTCTTTTTCATTTGCAGATGAGTATCTTTATGCTGGAACAGCTTCTGATTTCCTTGGCAAAGACACTGCTCTAACACGTTCTCTGGGCCCTTCTCACGACCACCATTACATCAGAACTGACATTTCTGAACATTACTGGCTTACTGGTAAGATCCCAAACATATGCTGTTGTCGTTTGCATTGTCCCTGCCTCTCTGAAGTTAATAGCCCCTTTCTTATATAAATACATGTCCAGTAACTATAAATATAGATATTGTATCATGGTATCTTCGGATTACGTAGGCTTTTTTTAAAAGAGCTCAGTGGAACAAAAATGCACTTGAGAAAAGGCACAGAGGTGTAAATGCTAATTAAGTAAAGAGTGGGTCCATAAGACCTAATCATTCTTTCCGTCTTTGATCTATGCATCTGTATATAGTACTGTAATTGGAATAATATCATGACTTAAATGCTTCTATATACAGTCTTATTGGAATATTTTTTTTAAAACCTTTTTTCCGATCACTTGTTAAAAGCTGTTCCCTACAACATGTTGAATTGACAGACTAGAAATTCCATGGGTTTAGGTAGAAGGTCTTTTTTTTTCTTTTCCTTTTTCGAGGGGGAAAAATACCCTTTGTTGCTGTGAGGATCATTTTAAAACCACTAAGGGCACCCTAAAATAGCTTCCCAAGCAAAACACTGCTTTGACTTGCCTATTAAAAAACATTCTGAGCTAGTAAACCCTCTAAAAAACTGGCTGCATTTACACCCAGCCAGTCTTAAACCACACACAGAGTAACATGGAAAACTTTGCTCACAAGCTAACCCTGGTCAATTAAAGCATCCCCCTTTTAGCCATCAACTGTCTTTAAAGATGTGGCAACACTGGCTCTGATTCAGGATGCCTGCGTAACTATTATGGGTGTATTGTAAAGCCAGGGCCTGCTGACCACAGGGTTAAGCTGCCTTCCCAGCAGACAGCTTCTGAAAGGGGTAATTTTGCCTCTTAACTCTTTGAGACTTCAACGAGAGGGAAATGTTCTTTTTCTTTATAATTTTTCCCCTACCCCATCTTCCCTTCTTTTAAGCTGTTACTTTATGTTTCTGTCTAGATGTAACTCCATCACCTCAGGATTTCTACTGTGAGATGAGGAGGAAAGGGGAAGCCTCTTGAAGTCATTTTGCCTTTCCAGATAGGAGCCGTCCTTAGGGCAGATAGAAAAATCTCACATTAGATTCTGCTGACTTATCCCACTTAACATCTCCTGTGGTCAAGACCTTTCTTGCCTCATCTCTCCTGTCTCTCATTTCTAGACATCCCTTGTGCAGTGCAAACCAGAAATGGGCTGTAAGTGATATGGACCAGGATGGGTCCATTCAGCGGGCAGTTCTCTAACTGGAACTAACCGTTCAAATGAATATCCAGTTTTATCACTGGCAGCCTGCTGGTGCTCAGTGTGGAAAGATGGCTGAGGTAACCACTTTCCTAAAGGATGCTATTATATCCTAAAAAGAAAGATTTACTGCAGTTTGGTGCTGAGGAGCATATGGTGTTATCATTAGTATAGATCCACCTTGATGAGCATTACAGAGTTCAGTTTGCAGCTTGAAAGAACTTATAGCTTAGATATCCAGTTCCAAGCATTTCTTTATGCTATTAATGTTTCTTCATGAGCAGTTTGAGGCAAGGGAACAGTACAAGAAAACAGAATAAACCAAAGGTTTGAGAACAGTTTATGTATTTTAGTTTGGAGGCTGGGTGAGGGGGTTTGTCTGCTTTCTTTTAGATTGATTCATGTTTTACTCTGTTTTCACTCAAAGTGTCTGTATTTGTGAAAGTTTTCTAAGGAGAATAATATATTAATACGTCTGAGTTTGAAAAACAGCTTTAGTGTGCTAGACTGCGACGTGAAAATTAGCCCACACTGTATAAACATTGAAGACCTCACATATTCTTCAGGTTTACCTTGTTTCCAGCCACATAAAAAACTACAGCCATGCTCTGTGTAAGACTTCGCATACACAGTCCATGCAGTGTTATACTAAGAGGCATAGATATAAACTAGGTGCTTTTCATATTTTGAAACAGTCCTTTTAAGGCTGGAGAAAATTTTGAGTGCAACTCTAAATGATGGGATCATTTCTGTAATAAGCCATAGGGTAGCTATTATATTTCTAGCTTCTTGTGTAACATTACTATTTACATACATTTGTGTTTTCAGATGATATTTGTATAATGAAAATATTTACTTGATTTCAGGTTTAAAACTCCCATCTCATCTAAATCCCTCCACCCCTAGATCTAACACTCATTTACCAAGCATTTACCTAGATCTCATTTGCCTCCAGGAAAAGTTGTACGTACCTGAGTAATTGTACAATTAGAAAACACTTATTTCCAGTCATGACTCATGTTTTACTTAGCATAAGATGTATAACTTGGGGGTTGTTTTTTCTTTTTTTATTTTTCCAGAAAGTGAAGAAGTTTTGCTATAAAGCACCGTAATATTTTTAAAGTTTAGTTTTATTCTGTTTCTAGAAACAGGATTATCCTTTCCTGAGGGAAGGGAGGGAAAGACAAAGCACAAAGGAAAAATGCGTAGGATACCTCACAGTTCCTTGCAAGGCAACTCTATCTTGACTAATTAAGACATGCCTTAATCTCAGTGACTGAATAGCAGCTCCACAAAGGAGAAAGGGAGGAAGGCAGCTAATCTTTCCCATGACTCACGCTCACACAGGCTCATACTCTGAAGACAGAGGGGATGTTGCTTCTTCTCAGACTTAGCTCTTCTGCAGAACGAAAGCATCAGGCGCTCCCACAGCCGCTGGCTGGCTCTACTTTATCAGTGGCCGTGGCTAGGGACAAGACACGGGGGCTGGTGGCCCCACTCCAGATGGAAAAGGCACCCACTGGAACCAAGCCTGCCCTGCTCCTGCCCAGTGGGTGGAAGGAGGTGTCCCGTGATGGGATACCCAAACCCTACATATAGGCAGGCATGAAACAGATACACATTCCTCCCTCTGTTATAAAATAGTCAGAGAGAGTGTTTTCCTGAATTACAGTCATCTTTTTTTAAATTTTTTTTAATTGCAATTTAGTAATCTTTGTCAAGGCAAAGACTTGAAGGCAATAACTTCTTTATATCCTGTGAACTTTAGAGGGGATTCTGCTCAGTTAACTCTAAAAGGCAAAAGCTCAGTCTTTTCACTTGTCTCTGTAATTTACAGAGTGAGGTGACACTTCCAGAGGGTGACTCACCCCACCTATTGTAGGAATCTGTCTCAAAATAGGATTATTCATGGTCACTTTTTTCCTTATGACCCTCCCTGTGAGAGTTCCTGTATGAGTACAGGTTCAGAGCTTGACTTCTAGATAGTTAAAGGTGAATGAGGTCGGCACTACCCTTAGCACTTTATCTTGTGTATTTCTGGCAGCCCAACTGCAAAGAGCTGCTGCCTCCCACTGTTTTGGGTGGTTTTTTTCATTTCTTCATGTTCTGGGATTTGTTCCTCTTTTCCTATCTTCTTCTTCTGAGCCTAATGAGTCTTACCTCTCTGTAGGTCTTACTAAGACACACACGGTCACACTAAGACTGCTGCTGGTGTTAGAAGGCTATGAGAGCTGGCAGGTAACCAAGAGCAACGACAAACACTCCAGTGAATCCACCAGTGAAGAACTGGGTGTCACAGTTCTCATTAGACCACAAGGACATGTTTATAAAAAGTGTGAGAAACACCTGAGTTTATTGTACCACTTATTGTCAGAGCCTCTATGTCATCACAGAGCTCTACGTGGTGGGTTAAATTCAACTTAGCCATGAAATTAATATGTGAGAAAATCTTCTATTAAAGCAATTATGGGGGGACAACTGTGTATAGCAAAACAAACAGTGGTTTGAAATCACCATCATATGATATGTTTCCCATGCAAGGAATCCAAAAACCTAATTCACAGTTGGTTTAAGTGCACTTTTTATGTAGCATGGATAGGTTACAAAAGATGAGACAAAGATCTCACTTGCAAAACGTAATGTGCTTTTCAGATCATGATCTCCTTCATCAAATTGTTTTTGGTCTCATTGTCTTCATATCTTTAACAGTGTATTTTTGTTTGGATATAACTTTCAACTTCAGTGTATTCAATTGTGATTTAAAATCATTAAATATTTTTGTTCCTTTAATTTTTTAGATATTCTTCTAAATCCGTTCCAGGAACTGGTATTGAGACATTTGTTTTTGCATTTGGCTTGCCAAGTAAAGCAATGAAATTTAATTTAAAAAAAACCACATATATTCAAAGTTTTGTTCTGTGAACGTGGATTCAGAAAGAAAAAAATCTGTGAAATAAAGCACGATATAGAAGTATTTCATAGGTTTCCCTGTTAAACAGCTATTTTGCTAACCTCATATTTAAGAAACCATACTGGAAGCATATATATGTATTTATTCATGCTTAGAGATCTGATCTTCAAAGTAGTCTTACAGACCCTGAGGGGTAACTGAATATTTTCTTTATGCTCATTTTGAAATCCTAACTTAAATTTACAGAGCTCGATGCCTACATCATTTCATTTTTCTGCTGACACCAATCTCTAGTGTCAGAAAAGTTGAAAATGGAAGCAGCACTGTGGCTATTTTGATCCATAAATTTACTCTTCTGTCACGAAGGTGCACATTCAGCACTTAAACACATCCCATTTTGTCTTCGACTGTGAACTTTGAATCAAGGACCCTCTTTTTGTCCTGTGTGTACTGTAGAGTTCATGGTGAAAATTCCTCAAGGCTAATATAAAGTAACAATCATTATAAGAAGGACAAAGGCATGAAGATACATTAAAAGCTGATAATAGTATTCCCCACACATCACCAGTGTGCTCTGTTTGCTCTACCATCCTACACCGCCCTCCTTACTGCTTTCTACTGCAGCCTGCCTGCTCACAGGGGACAGACTGTGTATTTTATTGCTGAAAGAATGTATTTTAGAGTCAAGAGTCTCTTTGCACCGTATTTGTATAGCCACTTCTGTTTAAAGAAAAATGCCATTGATCCAAGCGCCCTGAAGAGAGCTCAACTATTGTAGCATGTTGGAGAATATCTTAAAAGTCACTTCGCCGAGTATCTGATTCACTTGTGCAAGACACTGTCATTGCCTGCTCCGCTGCAGTCAGGGACCCCTGGAATTCTGGAATTCAAATTTCTGATTTAAAGTAAAAGGATAAACCAAACCCAAACCAAAACCAAAAATACAGAACTAGTGAGCAGGTAGAGAAGGACTGAAGGTCACAGAGGGAGCTGAGGAAGACAGGAAAGGACGTGTATTAAATTCTTGTGCCAGTAAACATCCTCATAAAATGCAGGCAGAGGCACTCAAGCTTGCTGTGGAAGAGACCAGAAGTAATGTAACAGTTCAGCATGTCAAGGCAAGGAATGCTGGAGCATTTCTTGCAAAAAGCAGACTTAAATAACCCAAATGAACCATTATGTTGATATAGATTATCTGTTTTCATGCAGAACAAGGAACTGTGTTCTGAATATTGACCAGTTAGTTGTGGAGTTTGGTGTGCTAACTTGAAAATCTCAGCATGGCACTGTATTGGATTTGATAGATATAGTCAGTGAGATTGTTATTGCACAGATATGTAGAAAAATTTTAACTCAGGAAAGCTGTCGTTTATATTGAATTCTTAATCCTGCGGATCAGTAGAGGCTCTTTCATTCCTGTACAAGCTATCTCTAGTAAACAGTAGTGTATTTCTGTACTCAAAATTGCTTCAATGTGTAATTAAATTAATTTAAATTCTATCCTTTGTGATTTCAGAAAATCTACTTAGCTTGATGTTGGTGGCTGAAGCAGTAATGTAGATTTTTTTAGGCAATATTTTGTACTGAGAGTTATACTATATTCAGAGAGGGGAAAATAGCCAATGCTGCATATTTATGCAAGCAGTGGTAAAATATAAACATGAAAACATCACACACAGAGTAAATGCCTCAGAATCTATGGTGTTTTTTTCTCAGAGCTAGTAAGAAACTTGCCACTACATGTCTATATAAAGATATTTTATTTCACTGGAAGATGTAACATAAATGCAGATATTGAAGCAAAAGTTTAGTATCAAGTGTTAGACTTTCCTTCAGATTTCTAAACCTTTTTTTGGGAACTTCTAGGAGCAAAATTCATTGGAACTTTTCCCATCCCGGACACCTATAACCCAGATGATGACAAGATCTACTTCTTTTTCCGAGAAATATCACAAGACAGTGGCACGTCTGACAAGACAATCCTTTCCCGAGTTGGGAGAGTTTGTAAGGTGAGAACTCTTCCTCTTTATTTTATTTAAAGAAAAAAAAAAAAAAGAAAATGTTTGGTTTGTTTCTGTGAGAAATCTGTTTTCCTCTTCAGATCAGGAGAAAATAGTGTTGTTACTCAATGAGCCACCATAATAGTTCCTCTGAACATGAAATGCTAACGCCATCTTAAATATACATGTCTGAAAAATAGACTCGATATTTTCTGTGAACCTGGCTCCTGGTCTGTTGCAGTGTAAAAAGTTTGATTTGGTTGGTGCCTGACCTCCTTTAAAACAATGACTCCCTTCACTTTCTCTTTCATTACACTTGGTTTTGCCCCTTATGAAAGATTTCTGCCCCTATGGTGTTCATAATGCAGACTGATTTTCATGAGCTGCACGCTTTTTGAAGAAGCATCTCTGGCAAGGGCAGAAGCCCCCTCAAAATGAAGGGAAACAAAATCCTGCATGTGAAGACAGCAGTTGGTGTAGAGCTTGCTAGTTCTGCTAAGGTCTTCTTCACACTACAGCAGAAGCATCTGTTGACTTGTGTCAAGCATACTCTCTAGCCACACCTTTGACCCATAGCATTGTCAGAACAGAAGCAGTCAGTATAAGTGCTCCTATCTTGTCTTTAGGTCCTCAGTGAATCCAGGTATCACTGGTAAAAGACAGGAAAAATGGGACTTCAAAGTAGTGTTTGCATGAGTAAGTAGTACCTCTGAGCAAATGTTTCCCTCATGTGATGAAATAGGTGTCACCAGCAGCATCATAGTGATCACACAAGTAGATGCATTTCTGTGGTATTTTATTCAGAAGCTTTCATCTACTTGCATTTTCTGAGCAATGTGACTGCTGACAGTGAAAATTATCCTCTTAGGAAGCAAACAAACAAAAAGAGTTTGTGATTTTCAGTAAGATGCACCTAGAAGAGCACCCATTCAACTAATGGACACACACTGGAAAACAGAGTAAATCTTGCAGCCCAGTAAACTCGTAGCTCCAGTGGAGACTTCAGTGACCACAGCCATTTCACACTTCTATCCATGTCCTAAAATGTTAAAAAATAAACCAAAACACACCTTATTCATAAATCAGTTCTTTAGTAGGTTTTTAGCCAGACGAAGGAATGGGTAATCTTTAGTTGGGTATTTCGCAGCTGAGTGATTAATGGCAGAATGGAAACGCAAACATATATGATTTGCTGCTAGACATGGCATTTGCTGATTATGAGAAAGCACTTAGTGCATTAGGAGAAATTGGTAGACAACATTTTTAAGCAAAGGCATAGTAAACTAAGATATATTACCTAGAGATCTACAGCATCCTTCACCTAGAGAAAAAAGAGATAAGGTATCATAATAAAAGCAAACATATTGTAAGGAAATGACCATATGTAATTGTACCTTAAATGAGACTGAATTTCTAGAGTACTCATGTGAACAGGAAAAAAATGTCATGAATTTTATTTTTAATAGTGAAAGCAAAACAATGGAAACTGGTAAGTAGGTTGATTATTATTGTTAGTTTTGCACTGTCTGCTTTATTTAGTGAGCACTTCCCAATGGATGCAGAATTCTCTTGAAAATTCAGATTCCTGTTTTCTTTGCACATATTTTGCTTACCTGCAACTAAAAAAAAAAAGTAATTCAAATTCTTATAATGAAAATGGCATTATACTAGGTATTTAATCTAAATTGAAAAGTGCAAAGAGACTCCTCTGTTTATGGACCTCTGGATCTGTGCTCTAATATGAAACATCTGCTCTGCTTAATTATCTCTGATATTGGATCAATGTCTTTGGTTGCAACAGTTGATAACAACAGTTTCTTCTTGCATTGTCTCATTAGTGTGACCTATACCACACAAAGTTAAGCCTTTGCCTTATTTCCACATAACAAGCGGAAAATAACAGTGGATGGGAGGAGTCCAGCAACTTCTGAAATAATTTCCTTGGTCCAAACCCTTTTTTTTTTCTGCTAGTACCCAATTCCTCTGTACCTCACTGTGCCGTAAGGCTCCTGTTCGTTAATGCCAGAGACACATACTGAAATTAGAATAGGCGTTGTTTTTAATGAGGAGGTTTGTCAATGCAGTCAATTCTTTGGCTAATTTTCAATGGCTCTCTCACTGATCCTCCCCCTTAGGGAAAATCTTCTTTGGAGAACATTTCCCTTTTCCCAGCTACTTTCAGACCCTGAAGATTACAGTACTATTGCTGGCAGTTCTTCTCAGAGTCAAACAGCTGTCACTTGTCCTGTTCATAAGACCATACTTACCGTCTTGAAGCACGCGTTGTAATAACGCAGACACTGTAGCACTAAACAGCACTGATTTAGATTTACGTCATCTGCATTCTCTATATCACCAGGGGATATCTGTATGAATTGGGAGGAAGTGCTTTCAACAGTCACTTTAAGAACCAGTTGTGTAATTTATCATGGCAGACGGCATTTCCTATTTTGGGGTTGAGAGAGGCAGAGAAAGTATCATTGGCCTATCTGTAATACCTGATAGTACTTATGGTATGTTCCTACTTGCATAAAATGTAATCTGTTGGGTTATTTGCTCTTTCGAGTCAGGTCGTAAGTAAAATAACCCACAAACTAGTAAAGTGTAACCAGCACTGTGTATATGTTTGTTTTGTTTTCTTTTTAAATATGTGTATATTAAATGATCATACAAAACTTCTTAAGAGCATGGACCCACCTATTTCTATTTCTAGAAACACAGACATAAGCTTTCACAGCTACATTGTCTTCAAGCCCACACTGCTGAGCCAGTTTGCATCAGCTAAAGACGCAACACAGTCATTAGATGCTGAGCCAGATTTGGAAAAAATAAATTGCAGCATCCATGCAAGTAACAAATCAGCTACATCTTCGTATACATATCCACCAGAAAATAATGACAGAATTGTAATTTTGTTTAAGGACAACCTCATATATGCACAAATGTAGCCCTAGAAAAGACTTAGGTTTCCCTCCCATTTTCCCCACTCAAATAAAGTGAGAAATGAAAATCTTAACTTACAGAAATCCACAGAAAGGTCTTAGAGAGAAAGAAAGATTGTTGGGGATTTTGTTTGTTTGTTTTCTATATAGAAACACATTTTTTCATAGTTACAACCTCATTCTATTGGAATGGAGGGGAAATTAGCCAAAAGCAGTAGTCTCTCTGCTGCAGTAAGAAAATTGTGTTTATTATTACAGCGGTTTGCATTTGCTGTGTTACAAGATTCTCTTTAACAGTTTTGGTAATGTATTGCAAAAGTTACAGCATGCAGTCTTAGAGACCGATTTCTGAGACTTCAACTGCCAAGAAATCAGACTTTAGCCCCAGATGCTTCCCCATATTTCCCAAAGTACTCACTATCCAGAAGCGGCCTTTGTTCTGGTGGGAACAAGTGAGCTCTTTGTCCTTTTTTTTTTTTTTTTGTATGCCATTCCACCCCCATATATACCATGCTGTACCTGGGGACAAGAATATAGCAATTAGGCACAGCCCTCTTGGTTAAAGTGTACTTTTTAAACACACTGGAATGTAAGCATTCTAAGAGCTCCTGAGTCGAGAGCCCAGGACACACCCTGCATTCCACCTTTGGATAATGTGATTTATTTCCAAAGCCATGAACATGAGCAGAGTTCAAGGCTATGACCTTACCTCCCGTCTGGTGCTTAAAGGCAATTTATATTCCCGGAATGGCAGAAGGGAGCTATTCCTCCATGACTCCAAGTCCAGGGTCTCTGGTGGGCTCTGCCATGGGGCTGCTTATGTGTAAAAATTAAGAGGTGTTTTTCTTGTCCTGGAAGTAGTCTAGCCATGCCTTTACTGTGACTAGGGATAACTGGGTCATTAACATTCTTTATGTTTCTATATTGTGTAATGCATCACTGTGTAGATAATTGATCTATCTCCAAAACCATTTGAGTTGTCCGCATAGCATAATGCTTTACCATTCAGCCGTATTAGCTCGGGTCCCGGAAGCGAAATAGCCATGTTAACATGTTCTCAGCAGGGCTAATTAGTCTGGGCTCACAGCCACACTCGTGCAGCTCTCCTGCTTCCAGTTCTGGAGGCAACTCATTCCAGACAAGCTTTAACTTACTGCATGTTGCATACTTAACGTGTTTTCTTTGTCGCCATAATATTGCCTAGCCACAATGCTAACCATGAACAATAGGGTTTTGGATGTGTGTGGGTTTTTAAAAATTGATTAATTAAGTTCAAAATTATTAAAAATTGTTAAATTATTAAAATAACTTCAAAAATTGCATTCCCAGAAAGACTTTGGCCCTCATTTGCCCCTTTGCAGCAGTGGGTCTTTCAGCAGCCAACTCCTCTTAGACTTCCAAATTTGATATTTCAATATTATGTGCCATTTGAAGGTTTTCAAATTATATAGAAAAGCAGATGCTCATCAAGATGATTTCATTTTAAGGGCTGATGTGTTGAAGACAGACCAGTTCCATATAGTATCTGCTTCTAACTGTGATGAATTAAGAGATATAACATCAGGCTTTGTCAGGTCTTTTGGTACAGCTTTCTTTATTGGCAAGGGTACAGGCATGAGTGTAGGAAGTTTTGTACATTTTTGTCCCTTATGGGTGTGTTTCAGCAATGTAATTGGTGGTTCGTTTGAGGGGGGAAATCATGATTTGCAGATGAAGCAAAAAATATGTAAGCTATGCTTATGTATAAAGAGGTGTGACTGAATTTTACTGAGCCGCAGGGAAAATGAAAAAGAAATTGCAGTGTCAAGATAGAGCTTTAAAAAGTGGATTATGAATCTGCAGCTGCACAACCTCTGAAGCAAACTCTGGAAATCATCCTAGTTGCCAGAGAGACTCATTGCAGAAGACACTATCAGTAACCCACTGTCTTGGAAGTGGGAAGCCTGCAGAGTTAATTGGAGTTCTGAGGTGGGATCCAAAGCCCCTGACTTCAGAGTGCTTTGATTCAGATATTCGGTATCTTTAAGAGTAGCAAAAAAAAAGACTGTGAGTTTGGAAATTTTCTGA